AAGGTTAAAAACTTAGGATGTTACAAGAATTTCGTCCATATGACTGGACTATCTAAACTTATCAATTATGAGATATGACCTAATTAAAGATCATAGAACTCACTCTTAGACCACGATTTTCCCTACTATCGAATCCCTGGGGTGTCATAAACTTTAAGTTAATCTTCTCGATAAACCAATGAAGATAATTAGGTTTTAATCCTTTAACAAACTATGAAATAATTTCTCGATAAATTATAGGACAAGGCTATACTCTTGTGCACCAAAAAGCAATCAAAATCCCTTATGATTTTTAACTATTCCATATCGTAAGCGAACTTCCACTAACTAATCATGCCATATATGATGCTTACTCACTTCACAATTTTATTTATTCATTATTAGCACATTGAGTTTACAATAATACGCTACCCAAGTGGGCATCTATAGTATTTTCACAACTATTTTTCACTTTACTAAATTATCAATTTTTCCCAAATGAAACAATCATCACATCATATAATATCACACTTCTCATCCCAATGTATATATATATTCATAGTTTTGAAAATAATTTTGACTTCAATTCATATTTCAAATCAAGTGGAACATTATGCACAATCACAATTCAAACAATTATCAAGGCTCATGACATGCGTTCACATTCAAAATCAAATCATACATGCCAATATATACATTTCACAATTAGCAAACAACTATTCAAGGTAGGATTTCCTTGGTTATCTCAAACATTTGAGAAATTAAATGTTTACCCCTCAATATATGCTTCCAATCTTGCTTTTAAAGCTTAAAGTAGGTGCTTGGACAATTAATTTACAAGTAATAAGGTCTATACTCAGTTATCAACACCAAAAACACATTTTCAACTCTCATTTTTCACTTCTAATCCAATGCCTATATTTTTCATATTTAGGCCTACCAAATTTGGTGTATTAACTTTCTTTCACTTCATTAATCATTTCTAATGTCATTAATATCTTAACAACCCCCCATTAATCCCAATTAAATTCTTATTTTTGGGTATTAATGAAGTTCACCAAACAAAGATGTCAAAACATAATTTCTAGGTTTAAATATTCAAAGCCACTCCTATTAACTCCATTTAAGTTAATAGGTTCGGACGCATAACCTATATGAACTGAAAATCATCTTTCATTATCAAATCGTAACCAAAAACCTCATAAAATGGAAGAGAGAGAAAGATTAGGGTATAAGACACTTACCTTAGGTGTTTTATATCATCAAAATACTCCCAAACCATCAATGTGGCAAACCCTAGCAAAACAAGAACGAGCTCCTTCATTTTCCTCTTCTTCCTCTTCTATTTTCTGTCTCAGTTTATGAATAAATTATGCAAAAAAGGATTATGTACCGCGGCGCACGCGACAGCTCATGGCATAGAAAGGCTCCCCCTTTTGCTTTTATATTAAGGGCATTGAAAACTAAAAATATTGTGTAAGTATTGTTATGATACATTGTACATGTGCCCGTTGGTATATTGAGTGTGATTTAGGGTTAAGGATATGCTTTTGGCATTTTGACTATTAATTGAGCACTCAAGTCGTATATTGATTATAAAAGGAGTGAGTTTAAAAATTGGTGTCCAACTTTTGATTAAAAATGGTTTGAATGTGAAACTAGTACAATTAATTAGAGTTCAAAGAAAACTTTTTGTAGACTCCTAAATCATTTTAATCGAATGTCAGATGAAGAAATTAGGTGAATTGAAAGTTCACCCCAGACTCTGTCCTTTGACAACATTTATACTATCAAAACTGTATATTGTGCCGCGATGCATGGCATGACAAAGGACGTGCCATAGCGCATGTGTCATGCCATAGGCCACCTTTGTATTGTTGTAATGAATGATGTTTCACAACTTAAATGCAAATATGTTAAAACAATTTGATATCCTATGCTTCAATAAATATATTTTACTTTAATTTTAGTTTACGAAAGTATATTATAGAGTTTTAAAAGTTTGAAAAACCTAGGATTTCCATTTACATAATTTTATAACTTATATTAATGAAGCCTTGCAAATTATTTGGTAACCCTCTTGGGTCAGCTATGTGATTACATTTGTTTTGGAGTTAAGAGTAACCTTATATTAAATGACTAAATTATCTCTTATTTAAAATAAAAAAAATATTGGATTCATGTGGGAAGTTGTAATTTCTTCTTCAGTTATTGTAATTCTTAGAATAAAAAGTTATGAATTCTTAAACAAAAGTTATAATTTATTATTTTTAGAAATTAGACTTCCATGATAAAAAAAAATTCACATGAGAAATTGTGATTTCTTATTCAATTATTGCATTTTACATAATAAAAGTTATGATTATTTAACCAAAATTTATATTTAATTATTTTCAGAACTTGAACTTTAATAATAAAAAAATTTTATGTGAAGAGTTATAATTTTTTATTTAATCTTTGCGATTCACAAAATTAAAGTTGTAATTGAAATTGATTATTTTTATGACTTATTTATCAATCATAAAAAATTATGTAAGAAGTTGTAATTTTTTATTTAATTTTTATTATTTATAAATAAAAATTATGATTGTTTAAATAAAAATTATGACTGTCACTGGCTATTATTATTTAAATGGAGAATCCTTAAATCTAACTCCAGCAGGATGTATCAACGAGATATTAAATTAAAAAAATATATATATATATATATATATAGGAGAGAGGTAGGGGTCCCAGTGGTAATGAAAGAGCCATGTTCGCATGTAACCTAAAGATGGAAAAAGCTTTGACTCTGGTGGGCCCCAATGTTGGCCGTACCTCCTTCATCTCTCTCCCCACTCTATAGCACACCAATGTCCATGCATTTCATTTCATCATGCTCTCTTTTTCAAGGCCAAAAATAAATTTCTCTATTAATTTCCCAAAACCGTTAATTTTATAATGCTATTATTTTCTTAATAGGAATCATGAAGACTTTTTTGGTTAGAAAATAAAACAATAATGATTAAGTCACACACAAGTTAAAGAAAGGCTCGTAACTTTTCAAGGTCCCAAATTTAGACATGATGATAATTATTTTGGTGCATCGATCAAGTCATATTGCTCTGACCCATTTTGGGGAAACTCAAAAAATGGGTAATTTTCTCTCCGTCTCATAATTACATGTTGCAAGTAACATTACATGAGTGGCCTTCTCTTTATAGCAACAACATATCAATGCACAATCACACTGTTCTCTGCATGGTATTCTGCTGAATTATTGCAGGCCCTCTCATGAGCTCGAGTTTCTTTCTCAAGGGGCAATTTGGTCTCAAAACTGTGAGCACCGTGATACCCTTTTTTCTGCTTTTGAACAGAAAAGTGTGGTCAGTCAAACACAATGGCAAGAGTTCAGAGATTTGAATCCCATAAAAGCAAGAGTTATCTCCAAGCTTTTGAGCATCAGCCAATCCATACCATCATTCTTTCAGTTTGTTTTCAGATTCAGAGGATCACGTTAGTCTGAAATCCATCCACACATACATTCAATGGGGATTTTATTATTTGAGTTTTATAGCACCAAGAACTTGCGGCCACCGCAAAAAGCGCACTTGCAGGTACAAACAATGTTTTAAAAATCAAACCCCGATGTTAAACTCAAAATATCAACAGGTCTAGGTTCTTCATGGTCTAAGACTACAAAATAATATTGAATTCATATAAGAAATAAATTTACAATATATCCGGTTGTTAATAAAAAAACACAACATGATCATAAATTAATATCATAAATTATAGTTTTATAATTGGTTAAATATAGGTGAATTTTGATTAAATAAGACATGGCTAAATTCAAAAGTGTCAAAGTTTACACAAATAATTGTCAACATTTTTCATTCAAAAATGGTTTCAAATAATATTACATACTTGTGAAGGGTCTAATTTTTGGATCTTTCTTTTTTCTTTTTTAAAGTTTTTTAGCCAATTTTTTTATATTAGGTTCATTCTCTTCATGTTTTCTTTTCTGAAAACATTTTCAGTTTCTAGCTTAAATTCGGGTTCTAGCTTAATGATAGCCAAACTCTTGTTTAAAATACAGTTGAATACTAAATATAGGTATTTCTTCCAAGAAAACTTTGAACTTTGATTTACTACCTTGTCAGGAATGAACTCAAGATTAATTGAATAATACTGAAGTTAACGTTTTACACAGAATCGTAGGCAGCCCATTTGAGAAAATGGAGGAGTAGCAGAGAGAAAGATGATTGTCTGCACATGTCATCTCGATAAGTAGGGCTACCATTTGTAGATCACTGATTGAAACATTGAATTATTCGCATTTCTTACTTTGTTGAAAACCAAACAACCTTTCTCCGTCCCTCTTTTGTTTTCTGATGCCGACATGTACCCATAAATGCCTAATACACACAACATACATAATTGTGAATGCAAAAGGAATTTAATTAATTCCTTCCTATTTAATTTGGATTCCATCTGACAGAATTAAGGTGAAGAATTACACTTGCATGTAACGAGTATAGGAGGCCAGGCTGGGAGAGATGGAATTATTGTACAGTTTAGGACCACAAACACAGGCAAATTCCAAACAGAGTTTCATCATGACTTGTCTTGTATAAAACAAGAAAACCAAAATCAATATATAAGACAGGGAAATATCACAGAATTATCTCCTTCCTCTCTTTCTCTCCTTTATTCTGGGCTTTTGTTTTTTTCTGAGAGTTTCCTCAGCTTTATATTCATACATGAACGGTATGTGTGTGTGTATGATTACTTTTTCTGTGAAATATTTGGGTTTGATATAAGGTCAGAGGGAGAGAGAGAGGGGTGGCTCCAATAATACAGTGGATATGTGTACAGAAATAGAGCAGTCACGAGAGAGTTGAATTAAAAGGCAGAGAGATCATCGAAGAGAATATGGAGACACTTTCTCAGCCAAACAACATAAAAAACAACGAAACTGAGATGCCTGCAATTACAGCAGCATCAGCAGAAACGGCAGCATAAATATTCTGCGCACACAATGATACAAAAGCGAAAACTGATTGCCTTAAGAGAATAACTTCATACACTTGGCTTTTCAACCCTGAATACAACACACCCCACACACACACACACACACATCCTTACACAACATCCCCATCTTTCTTAACAAGTATTACTCTTGATCTGGTCCTCCTCTCACTACACCATCGAGGACCACCAACATTTTTACACACTTCACATCAATACTAACCATAAAAGTAAACCAGGCCCTGAAGTCTACTTCAAGTCAAGCTTCATCTGCGTTGCTTCCACATTTCAAGAAGCCCTTTTAGAGAGGTTTTAAGGCCCTTTTCTTTTTCCCTTGTGGGTTTTGTGTGTGTGTGTGTGTGTGTGTCATATCATATGAATAGGAATTGTTGCATGCTTGGCCAAAAACTGAAACAGCTCAGGAGGGATAGACAAGGAAGGAGAAGATGAGTTGGGCGGAAAAGGGGAAACAGAGGGATCAAACTCTATATCAGCAGATTTGACATAGAGTCTTTCACAGAAGTGAGAACAAAGACTGCGGACTCGACACGGGGTCTTACAAGGTCAAGAAAAGGTCTTACAAGGTCAAGAAGACTCAAATAAGAAACACAACAACAAAGAAAAGATGGAAAAAATGGGGGGCAAAACTTAGATGAAGAAGAGAGTATAACGAGTAAGTAAAAAGCTCAGGCAGGATAGCACCAGATCAGAAGAACAATGGAATATCTTCCAGAAGTAACACTCCAGAGGAAGAAACACCATCATCATCAACATCAGCAGCATCAGCTCCAAGGAAAGGTTCCTTCTGGCTAAGGCAATTGTTCACAATTCTGAGAGGGCCAGACATATGCATGGTGAAGGCGCCCTTACAGGGACCTGCAATATAAGATCATCATCATCTCAATACAAGCTTCAGTATGCTGATCATAGAGAAAACATGGATTACACTTATAAATGTCACTGAACTTGTAAGCATGTACAAGAAGTGGAGAGGAGGAGGAAGAACGGTATTTTTTTTTTTTCATGGAAGATGAATTAAAAAGTGATACCTTTATGGATGAAGCTATCTTTTGGTTTCATGATTAGAGGGTCTTGAGAGAGAGAGAGAGAGAGAGAATGGAAGAGGATGATTGTGTTAAGGGGATACAAAGAGAAGAGGGAGTGGCGGGGGGAGGAAGCTTATATGGTGAAAAAGAGAAGGAAGCAAGCAAGGAAGGTGGTTGAGGCGGCCAGTGGGCTTTCACCGTGGACCCGAAAGCGACGGGTCCAAGGCCCCACAGAAGAATGTAAACCGGACCCGATGATGTCATCCGGGCGGGTCTGCCCCGCCCCCACGCCGCTCCCAAAATCAACTGCCACTGCATAATAATTTTTTTTTTTAAAAAAGCTAAGTATAATTTTTAATTCGCGGGTGGGGGCACCGTGGGATGCTTATCGCTATATAGGATGGTGCAGGGTTGAGCACTAGTGTAAGCCTAATTTTTATAAAATTATATTTTGTCTTTGAAAAATTTATTTTTTTAAATAATTGTTTGGTTTCTAAATTAATAATTAAGATCAACTTAAATGAAATGAATTAAGTCAGTTAAAATGAGTAATTCGATCTTTGACTAATCGACCTAATCAATAATTATTTTTATCCCATTTAATATGATTTAATACAAAGAGTCAAGGAACATGATGATCACACCAAAGTGAAGACTGTGTCCACAGAATATCACATCCATAACCACCATTTTGCTATCAATTCCAATAACTTCAACTAATTTTTTTAAAAAATAATAATAAAAATCCCACTAGAAAACATGCAGGGAAGCTTCTGGAATATCTTTCAAAGACCGATGAAATTGGGTCTAGTAAAAAGAATTAATTTTTTTAACATAATAAATTAAAGCTTGAATTTTTATTAAAAAAGATGGTTACATTTAGTATTTTAATCATATTTTAAATATAATTGTCTCTATTACAAGGACACATGTGCAGATTAAAAAAAAAATGACCTCCACATGTAGAAAAAAGTAAGCCCTTTTTTCAGCTTAGTATCATGGTTTTAGAATTATAAATCTGTGGGGGAAATCGCTCAAACAAAGAGCTCAAGCTTGAAATAAAACCAATAGTCATATAATTATAAAGTCGATAATTTAGATAAGTTAAATATATTTGAATTGAGTTTAATTTTACTCAAGTTTATTTGAATCGAGGCTTAAAGTATTTTATTTTTTAAAAAATTTCATACACTTAAACTCAATCATAATTTTTTTTATAAAGTCCAGACTAACATGTCAAATTTAGCTTGAATTAGCGGGTTTATATAATAAGCATAGCTGTGATAATAATATAGAACTTGGCATTGGTTGATTTTGACCGATAAAGTGAAAAACTGGGGTGGGACCCACTTCTGTCTAGGTTTAATCATTTTAGTTTTAACTCCGTGGAACCGCCAACTTGTTGCGCAAAAAAAACCGACCCATGTGGAAGACATTGTACATGGAAAAATAACAAGGTGGGTCAAGTTGCATTATTTCAGTAAGCCAAGAATAAAAAAATAAATTTTGCTTTCCACCCTCTTGAATTTTATCTTGGGTAGTGGGTTTGCACATATTTCAAATTAAATCAACGATCCACTTTAGATTTGATCAAGCTTTTAAAAACTGGTTGTTACTCAAGCTGTGCCTACGAGTTACCCTGTAACGAGGGGACGACCAGAGAATAAAATAACGTTCTAATCCCTTGGGTGAAACCAAGGGGGAACAAGGAATCTAAGGTAACTCTAAGAAAATTATGCTTAGCCATGATTCTCACCTCTAAATGTTCAATATATAAATCAGGGTCTTGTTATGGGGACAGTGAACACACACAAAAACATGGTCAATCAAGTTACAAAGTCTCACCTTCCCCATTTCCTTGGCCTGCGTTCTCTGTAATTTAAATATAACTTGGTTGTGCATTGTTTGACTAGGACTCTCACTCTCACAACCTTTCTTCACATTTCTCGGAGTAATTTTTGCAATAATATCTTGAATGTTGAGATTTCAAAGGACTAAAAAATTTACGGACTTTGATCTCTGGGGCTCTCTTTGTACCTCATGTTTGGGGTCGAGTGTCCCCACTCCTTCCCTTTTCTATTGTTCTCTCTCCATCTATATATCTTTTGGGTTTTCATTTTTCAAAGAGCTTTGGCATCATTACACGTTAAGCAGGTCCACTCCATGATTCTCATATGAGGCAGTGAATAATATAGCAGAACAAGGGTTGTGTCCTGTTAATTCTTAAGCAGAGGAATGAGTACCTTCTGATATCATGGCCTTTTGTTCCATTCCGTGACCTCAAATTGTTTGTCATTCTTCTGATTTCCGCCATAGAATAGGATTAAAATATACGTCTCCTACTATTACCCAAAAAAATCTCATTGTCAGTGCACGTATCCTGTAAGTTTGGGTTAAAGGTCAAACGGATCAGAATAATCCTGCAGCAATAGGACAACATTGGAAATGTCATTCTTGCACGAACATTTGTGTGTGTGTGTGTGTGTGACAAACAGGATTTGAAGTTTCAAAACTCCACCAAGCTTGAGAACAAGGGTTTGGTACCTTCTAGTTACATGGACAGCAAGAAAGGTGTATAAAAAGAATACGCTGATAACACAATAATTATCAGCCATATATTTTTTCGGCTGATAATTGTTCATTAATAAGTATTCATGAGCTATGGTTTTGGGCCCTCATAGTATAATTAACATATTGCCTTATATATAGCGGCAAACTGTTGCTACTTGCTAAGGTTTGGCTGTATATCAGACCTTTGGACCACTCCTTCACCATTTTGTCCTTTGATTCTCTTCTCAATGAATATCCCAAAAACAATAGCCAAGAAAACAATGCAAAAGCCAAAGTTGAATGTCCTCCACATATTTTTGTGTTGGGGTGCGGAAGATATACACAATCTTGACCTGAAAATTTTTTCACCCTTTCTTTTCATGGTGGGTTAGTTAAGACTCCAGCTAATTAGTTTCACTCTCACGCAGTCAAATACATCACATCAGAAAGCTTCCCTCTCAGACAGCTTTTGACAGCACTTTCTTAACAACAAAGATAAGAACGGTGCATTTGGGGCAGTTCACGTTCTTTCTGATGGACAAAATATACGAAAACTGCAATACTTGAATAGGGTTCTCCTAATGGTTTGGTATGCATGCGACTTCAGTTCCCGCATTAATGAAGTGCAACGTGTGGAGCCCTTTGAGCATGCTATTTAACTTAACATTCCTCACTTTAAACTCATTCCGAGTGCAGCTATTCGCCACAAAATATAAAAATGTACGGATAGGAGTAAATTGATAATTGATATGACGCATTGTAATAAACAAACAGTGTTAGACCTGTAATGTTTCAGGTGTTGCTAGTTCCATAAAGACATGAACAATGTCACACGCAGCAGCCAATTGAAGTGGTCTGGGTGGAAATGTAAGGTTGATGTGATGTGACCAACGAGTAGAATACAGAATTGGAGAAGGAATCCATTGAAAACTATGAGACACAGACTAGGTGGAAAATATCAAACAGTATATGTGCATTCATGTGTATGTATAATATATACAGGCACAGAAACACACGTGACACACAAATATAAAAACAATTAGTAGATGAAGAGTGGAGAGTGAGGATGGTTTTGAATTGAGGGAATACGAAGTGACGGGAAAGAAGAAGGAAGCAAAGCAGGACCAAATCAGGAAAGCAATAATGCAAAAGGGAAGGATAATGGGAAGGAGTGAAAGGTGTATGCCGACCCGTACGTGTCGCCTTTATGAGAAGGCATGTGGACAAAGTGGAGCTGTTCCGGCATTAATTCTGTAGCTCAGAGACCCCATCTTGGAGAGAAGAAACCAACAAAAAACCTGCAAAGATTCTCTCAGCAAATTTCAAAACAAGAATAACCACGGTGGTGGTGGTGGTGAGTTTTGAGTTCTTTTTTTTTTCTCCCCCTTTTTCTTTTTCTTTTTTTTGGCTTACATGAACATATGCTGGTGGGGGGGTAGGGTCCGCCGCGTCGCCATCAATTTCCGGGCAAAGGAGTGACGCCCACTTTCAGAACTAATCCAATGCTCTGAAACTGTGATCAATATTCTTTGCAGTTTTCAGAACCAGCAATGCATAATGTCCAACGGAAGAAAAGGCAGGTAATTTTTTTACGTGTTGTGATAAAATCTTGGAAATATATAACAAGAGATGCATATACTTACGTTATGATTTTTAGTCCATATATTTTTAATTCATTGTTGTAGATCCTTTTAATTTGATTTGTGTATAACGTTGGTCCTCATAATTTTAAAAAATATAAAGATCATGAGTTGACACTGTTAAATTGATTATTTTTAACTTTTTCTTGACGTGATAATAATATATTAGCATAAAAATAAATTGATAAGTATGATTAAAAATAAAAGGTAAGAGAGAAAAGTATGATTAAAAATAAAAGGTAAGAGAGAAAATGACTTCATTTTACATTTGATATAAATAGCATGTGGGGGATGAAGACCATAATAGAATTCAGGACACCTTGGTAGAATGAATTTCATCAGTGCCAATTCATTGTTCTTATATATATATATATATATATATATAGATGTATATAATTATAGGAATTGATATAACAAACGAAAGGATTGAAAACAATGAAATAGAATTATAAAAATTAAAATTAATAAAGGTCAGTTTAGTTCATAAGGTTTTGATTTATAATTCATAAAGTTATTGATTCAAATATTACTATCGATATAAAATTTTATTGATAGACAATCTACTCTTTGAATTTGGAGGTATGCTCTACCTCTAGTAAAGCTCTGGAATCTAATTCTCCTAAAATTTTATGTATTGAAAAAAAAAAGAAATTTGGTGCATTAAAAAAAATTATAAGGACTAAAGTCAAATAAAATGAAATCAAAGTATACAACCTGTTATATTTTCCCTGTAATCTTGGGTGTCCACTGAGCTACAGTAGTAAGGTGAAACTCCGGACAAGAAAGCCCAGAAGACTATTATGTTCGTTACTTGGATTCTGACTCTGAAAATTTTGGGCTTCTTAAACCAACTTTGAAAGTTTCAACAAACCACGAAACCCTCAATGCTCGTAAGCTCGTACCAAGAAAGAAACAGCCAAGATTTTTTCCATTGTGGCCCAGCAGGCGTTGATTCATTGATATGTCCAAGTCCAAAACGGAGAGTTTAGTATCTTTAAAAATATGTTGTCATTGCCAATTGAAGTTGAATCTAATAAAAAAAGTTAGTCCCTCACAGCATGATATACTAAATTTTGAATTGTCATT